CCAACTGGTAACAACATTTTTCATTTTCTTCAAATTATGTTGTTAACATTTGATGCCGTAGCATCTAACAAGCGGATCCCATGTATAGTAATTATATACCCTCATATATAGCTAAATAATACTTTTTATAACCCATCTTATATTTAGGGTTGAATGTAATATTACCTCTGTGTAATATTCTCCTTTTCCTTTGCTTGAGATTGCCTATGATTCTTTTGGGGTAGCTAATGATTTTTTGGAGTTAGATCTTGTAATTAGTTGCGGTTGGGTTCTATAAGGGGATCTCTTGTTGTAATGTCGTTCACATTACTTCCATTATATGATAATTCCAGTGAAAAAAAAAACCATCTTATATACAATGCAAAAAAGCGGGACATGTTAGATTCCGTGCGACAAACTAAATAAAGTATGATTTGATTGATAGTTTGATGTGAGGACCTTTATTAGACTTGTTCATTGCCAATAACTTTATACATCCATATATCAACTATCAATATAAATAAATAATATCTTGAAAATACAAATTATTATGTTCAATACTATTGTATTGAAGCCCAACCCATCTATTTTCGAGAGTTTCTGATATTACGCATCCTAAAATTGGAACTGAAATTTCAGTAAACAGCTAGCATTTTGTAATGTTAAATTTACTGAACTTGCTTACTTTAGACTTTTTATATAATATAAAAAAAAGTTCATGAAGTACCATAGAGAATCTATTGAGACGTAAAAGTAAATTTTTATATTTTTGAAATAGGGTGGTACTATCTCATGTAATGGTTGGCGCGTGGTACTTTTGATTGATAAAAAAGCAAAAAAAAGGAAATTAGAAACAAGCATACTGATTAAATATGGTTGTCCCCCTAATCATCAAAGTTTTTGGCCATCTTCTCATTTTTCAGATATTTTAATTAAAATGATGTCATATCGACTTATCGAGTAGGGTCAGGGCCGTGCGAACCGTGTTACCAAAAAGGCAACTGCCTTAGGCCCTAATTAATTAGAAAAATTTTAGGGCCAATTTTAAAGATTTTTAATACTTAAATAGATGAAAAATCTCTATTTCACTATTATTTAGGCTAAATTTTAGGGTTCCATTTTAGAAGTTGTTTCATCTTACTTTATAATATAAGTTGTTTTTCATTTTATCTTTTGTTTAACTTTTTTTATTCAAAATATTTTGTCGCATAATTTCTTAACCCATTTNNTTTTTTTNTGTGTTACTAAATTAGTTTCTACNTTTACATTTAATCTACTCACATTAGTAAAAATGATGAAGATCTGCACAATCTTATAAATACTAGTGTTATAATATGAACTATTTATGACTGATATATAATAAACACTTATTATAAAAAATATTATATACATTTTATCCACTATTTTGAATACTACTTTATAAAAAAATNATATACTATGTTTTTAAATTTAAATTAATTTTTATTATCAAATTCTGTNTTGGGCCCCCAAATAGCTAGGCACGGCCCTGAGTAGGGTATAAACTTTTGTTAAAGGGGTTAGGATATTTAGTTTCATGACTTTTTTAATGTTGTCCGGACCTCACAAATATATATTTTGAATTATTTTTCCAAACAATCTGCATCCTTATCACGTTTAATAATTTTTTTATCAGCTTATTTAGAACAATTATAACTGATTTATTCCATGTTCGGCGATTAAAATCACTCTTGCTGTAATCAAGAACACAAGGATCGAGTTACCTTATGACAAATTTACGGTGAATTATAAATTTTTGTCTTTGATTGTATGCGATAACTGGACGTATCAGCTCAT